TTTACACAAAAATTAAATATTATAATTATTACTTTTGCATTAATTTTTACATACCAGACAACATGTATGGCGAGCACTGTAAGCGCCGACTCAAGCAGAACCCGTGTCCTGATATTAAACAATAGTCGAAATATCTTCATATTTATTAATAATTTTAATTACAATTACGAAAATATTCACTGAATTAAACAATTAAACAATCAAATGATTTTATACGTACTGTACTATTACTAAAAGCATGTAATGGACAGTCGTGTGGGAAATGACAAGTATCTTATACTTAAATAGTCCCAGCTCACTGACCAATACAAATGCTAGATCCTTTTATGGAAGTCTCAAGGTTATTTCAATTTATTCAACAGGGAATAAAATGTAAAAATTAATGCAAAAGTAATAATTATAATATTTAATTTTTGTGTAAATTTATTTATTACTTTATAAATGTTTATTAAAACCATACAAATCATTTAACTATAAATTATGATAGCTTTATTGTCATAGTATAAGTATACTGTATATTTATATCATAGATTAAACTGAATGTATAAGAAAATAAAAATTTAATCAAAACAAAAAGGTTCACAAAAAAATACAAATCTAACTTACATTTAGAATTTGATAAACTAATGAAAAAATACATAATTGTCATATTTTTATTGATCAATTTTTAAATCACAGAATATACTGTGTGTTTGTTTATAGGATGTGCACAGAATTCAGTACAAATTAAAATGTATCGCTGAAATTGGTCGCGAACTATCGAGGGCAAAGAACAGAATTGCCAAAAACATTAGGGTTAATACGATCCAATTGAATATGGTCAGGTGCGCCATTATTTTCATTGGTGGACAATACAGACACGACTGGCCAACCGGTGCTGAGAAGCCAATGTAGTGACCGATCAACGATATGTTCACACTTAGCAGAAGTAATTCCATTACAAATATCCCTATAATTTTAATCATATTGTTATTTAATTATAAAATCAATTATTAAATCAGTTATCTGTGAAACAAACATTAAATTATGTCCTAAAGATTGTTAGTAAATTACGTTGATATTTAAATTTTAAAATATAAGTTGATTTAATCTATACTTTACCTCAAATTTTAAATACTGTGTTGTAAAGTATTGAGAACTTCAAACAACATAAATTACTGTATGTTTTATATTAATATCAATTTAATTAATACAATACCTATTTTAATCATGATTAGAAATTTGAGTGTGATATTCATTTCGGTGTTTCTCATAGCAAAACCAACAATTAGTGTCTCAACAATTATGCATACAATCCATAGCGATGTGTAGGATATGACCAAATACTTGAGAAATATGCGACAAATCCAGGGATTAAATGCTGGAAGAGTTGTCGGGGAGGGAGTGCTGTGAAAGGATTGGAGGGAACTGGTGTCGCGAATGAGCTCGATAAAGTCGGGGTCTTCGATGTAGGTGATGGACTATTTGTGGTGATGTAACATTTTAAACCTCCATTATTGTAGTAACATTTGAATTACCAATCGTCTTTTAGTTAATTCAAATCCAGGTGTTGTCCCGTTCACCGCCACTACTAGTTTCCCCGTACAGTGTTTTGTGTCGGTTTTGATCACATGAAATGTCGTTATTATCAGACTATACCGTTTAATGTATTTTTTAGATGCAATTACTATTATTTTTTAAATCAAAGAGAGAGAGAGAGAGAGAGAACATACCAAGCAAAATGAATGATGAGCACAGAGAGGGTTGAGTCAAACAGAACCCGAGTCCTGATATTAAATAATATTTGAAATATTTTCATAATTATTAATGATTTTAGTTACAATTATCCAAATATTTACTAAATTAAGCAATTATATCAAATGATTTTATATGTACTGTGCTATTACTAAAAGCATGTAATGGACAGTCGTATGGGAAATGACTGGTATCTTATGCTCAAATAGTCCCAGCTCACTGACCAATACAAACGCTAGAATCTAGATCCATTTATGGAAGTCACAAGGTCATTTCAATTTATTCAACAGGGTATAAAATGTAAAAAATTAATGTTTTCATCTCAATGCTTTAAATTGTAATGAATAAAATATTTAGTTTTTGTTGAAATCAATTTATTGCATTATAAATGTTATAAATAGTGTAAGTATAAAATATAACTGAATTTATCAAAAAATGATAATTTAATCAAAACAAAAAAGTTCACACAAATACAAATCAAACTTACATTTAGAATTTGATAGAGTAATGAAAAAATACATAATTATCATATTTTTTATGAATCAATTATTAAATAACAGAATATTCTGTGTATTTCTACAGTGAATTAAAAATTATTGTTGAATCTGGCGTTTTATGGTAGCCGTTGATAAGATGGCCACATTAATGATGGCCAATATGATCCAGTTGAATATGGTCAGGTCGACCACTGTTTTCATTAGTTGGAAATTCCGACACGACTGACCACCAGTTGCTGAAAAACCATTGTAGTGTCCTATCACCGAGGTGCTCACAATAAGCAGTATTACCTCCAATACAAACAGACCTAGTGTTTTAAAAATAGCGTTTAATTTTTCATAAAATTAACTATTAAACTAGTTATTTATAAAATAAAATAGACACTAAATTTTGTCAATAAAATTGTTAATCAATTATCTATACTTATGGATCATGATATTTAAAATATAACTATATAACTTTAAATAAAGTTAAATGCTGAAAATTATCAGTTATAAATAATTACATTTACAACAAGATAAAACATGTAGTAAATGAATGTCAATTCAATTAATACAATACCTATTTTAATTGTGGTAATAAATCTGATGATTGTATTCATTTTGGTACCATTGATGGCAAAACTAACAATCAGTGTCTCAACAATTATGCATACAATCCATAGCGATGTGTAGGATATGACCAAATATTTGAGACGTATATCACAAGTGGTCCGCGGGGTAACTGTTTTTCTCCCGTTAGTGCCACCGTCTTTGATGTTGGTGTTGATCACATTGAGTGTCATTATTATCAAACTATATTGATTTTTAAATCAATATTTTAAAATACAATTGTTTAATTAAAATGAGAGAGAGAGAGAGAGAGAGAGAGAGAGAGAGAGAGAGAATGTATATCATATTACCAAATGACATGAATGGTGAGCACAGCGACCGTTGGTACTAATAAATCTCGAGTTCTTATATCAAATAGCCGTCGAAATATCTCCATAATTATTGTAAATTATATTTACAATTACTGTTGTAAATTAAAAATTATTTGTATGATTTCAAACATACTGTATTATTAATCTATTAATAATAATCTAATCATTATATTCTAATGTATTGCTGTTCAACGTAGGTGCTTTTGGCACCTTGAAGTAGAAAAGCCAATTGTCATAAACAAGATTAAAATTATTTTTTAAAGTTTGGATTAAAAATTATTAATCATTTGAATGAATGAACATATTATACACAGAGGGTCAAATGTTTATAAAATTGTTGATAATCGCAAACAAGATCAGAAATCTCATTAAAATGTGTATTTAATAATTAAATTTTGTTTTAAATGACATTTGTGGGTAGACTGAAAGCCAATTACCATAAAAATGGGTATAAAACTACAGTCAAACTTCTGTACTGTTAACAACTATGTTGTCACCAAAATCCCAAAACCCAAATACACACTACATAAACATAAAGTTAAAATAATCTCTGTTTTCAACTAATCTATCATATCAACACATTTTGACCTATAATTTGTAGCATTTCTATGTATAACAACTTCTGTGTTGTTAACCCATGCGCAAAATCTATACATATTATGATTACAGATGTATTTTTCTCAATTATATATCAACTCATTTAATGATAATTTGAATATATTGTGTTAGAACCGTTGTGTTGATAACATAGATGTTTGACTGTATTAGGTTGATCTTCAAGCGATTAATACTGACAAATCTAATTTTTCTTATTGACCGTTGCGCCACCTTTTTATGGCACACTGTGAATCTGTATATGTGATATGCTAAAACAAGTTGAACAGCAATATTCTAATGGATAGTTGTATGAGTAAAAGATAGGTATCTTATGCTCAAGTAGTCTCAGCTCACTGACCAATACAAATGCTAGATCCTTTTATGGAAGTCTCAAGGTCATTTCAATTTATTCAACAGGGTATAAAATATAAAAAAATTAATGTTTTCTGCTCAATGCGTTACATAATAATAAAAATATTTAATTTTTGTTTCAATCGATTTATTACATTATAAATGTCATAAAAACAATAAAAGTTATTTATTGTTAATTTAAGCCATAAGTAATATTGCATTCATGCTATACAGTAGATTTAACATAGAAACCAATTTAATCAATGATAATTTATAAATTAAATTATTAATATAAAATTTAACGAGAAAAAATTCACACAAATACCCAAAATCATAATCACAATAGGAATTAAATAAAGTAATAATAGAAAATACATAATTATTAAGCAAATTACAAGTCATTAATTAATTGAAATAACAGAATATTCTTATTGTTTTGTGTAGTTTAAAGCTTATGAACAGCATTGAGTGAAAAGCCCATACTATCGGTACTTTTGGTGATCAATCTCTTGAGGACATAGCATATGATGGCTACAAAAATAGTGGCCAAAATGATCCAATTGAATATGGTCAGGTCCACCACCGTCTTCATTGTGGGCACTTTTAGACACGACGACTGGCCATCCGGTGCTGAGAACCCAATGTAGTCACCGATCAACGAGATGTTTACTATTAGCAGTAATACCTCCAATACAAACAGTCCTAAAGTATTGAACATATCGTTTAATTAATGATAAAATCAAATACTAAATATATTGCCATAAACACTATCTCAGCATTTTATTTGATCATTGAAAGTGTAAATTACACGATAATAATAACATAAAACCAAATCAAATAATTACCAATCTTAATCTTTATGAGACACTCGATGGCGGTATTCATTTCGGTACCGCTGATGGCAAAGCCAACGATCAATGTCTCCACAATTATGCATACAATCCATAGCAATATGAATGATATGATGAAATACTTGGTAAACGCGAGACATGAGTGCCACGACTTGACTGCCGGAGCGTCTGTCGTGTTTGTGGGAGTGATTGGCACGACTGTTGTCGAGGCGGCGGTTGTGATAGTAATTGGCGCGACTGTTGTTTGGGTGGCCGTCGAGTTTGTGGACAGGCTCGTAGTAATGTTTGGTTTCATCGTTGTACTGTTATCTATTTGAATATTGTTAGAGGCATTATTTTGTCGATTAAAGTCACCTATTTCACCTAATGATGACCGCTTGGCCATTTTATGTCCATGTGCTAGCGTTTCGTTCACCACCAAACGCTCACAAATATTGGTGTTGATCACGCTCATTGTCATTATCATCAGGCTATTATCATTGTTAATAATAGTTTAATTATACAATTAGTTTTAATTTTGTTAATACAAGAGAGAGAGAGAGAGAGAGAGAGAGAGANTCGTTATTATCAGACTATACCGTTTAATGTATTTTTTAGATGCAATTACTATTATTTTTTAAATCAAAGAGAGAGAGAGAGAGAGAGTTTTATATAAAGTATTACCAAATGATATGAATGGTGAGGACAGCCACTGTCGGCACCAACAGATCCCGAGTTCTGATGTCAAAGAGTTTCCGAAATTTATTCATAATTACTTTGGATTTGATTTACAATTAAGGAAATAATTGCTAAAAATTAATTGCACTTAATTTGTATGCAATTTCAAACCTACTCTACTATTACTGCAAACTAACTAATGGACAGTCGTATGAGAAATGGCTGTTGTCTTATGGTTTTATACTTCACTTCATGGTATTGTCGTCCAATCAAAATGCGCTCGCTCATTTGTATAAAGCTCAGGGTCAGTTAATATTACTAACCAGGGTAAAAATATACTAATTTTTACTAATTATAATGTGCGCATATTTTTAAAATTAAATAACTTTATTATAAACTCTAAACATGTTATTAACTATTTTAATTTAATTATTATATTACTATAAAATTATATTTACAACTAATTTAATTAATTAATTAATTTTTTGACGGGTGTGGGGGAACGGGTCTGAGTATTGTGCCTAAACTGTATGTCCATAACGGGGGGAGGGGGCGTAAATAAAATAAAATGTGCATGATGCTAAATGCATTCAATTACTAATTGACTATTAGTAGTGTACAGTATTATGAATAAAGTATTAATTAGTGATACGTTACTCACACACAAACACATCACCTCATTATAATAAACAGCACATTGTGTGTTATAGTGAACTACAATCATGGTTGTACTTTTTGGTCACCATTATCATGGTCATTTGTTGGGTCTAAATCATTTCAATCGCCATTTAATTGTAAAGCATAAGCACATTATGTCAAGAGGCAGACAACAAACAGCTCGATGTAAGTTAAATAGTAATTATACCCTAAATTACTACATGATAATCATTAACTATTTTACCATGATATTGCTATTTTAACCCCTATTCACTGATAGGCACGGGTCGGGGCCGTAGACGGCCGGTACCCAAGTACGAGCCGACGCCGCAAACCACACCGCCAGAGTTGGCCAGACATTATGGCACCGACTCTATGGACGCTGAGATGAGCTATAGTCCGGCCTATGAGGGCGGCCAACACGAAGATTCAGCGGCTATCCCGAGACCCCTGTCCAACGCCCAAGTGATGGAACTGATCGCCCAAATGGACAAAACACTACAACTCGACGATACCGATAGTCCGGCGCCGGAGACAACGCCAGTGACAGCCCCTGTCATCGGCCATACACCCAGAGTCAAGGTCTATGAACGGGTGCTTACGCTATGGCTGAACCGATTGGGACCCGACGGCAGTCTCATCAATGATGATCCCCAGCCCCCGGAGTCGCCGACACAGGGGTTGTCTAAAATGTAATGTGTTTTAAGAAATAATATGATTTGTTTTTCTATTTTTGCTATAATTTTGTTTTTATGTTTTCAATTAATTTCCATTAATATTTATAATTTGTTTATGTTTAATGGTTTCATTGTGCCTATTATTAATACACTATTAATTTTAATTAAGTTTGTGTTTATGATTATAATGATTAATTTTCAATTTTTGTTTGCATAATAAAGCTTTAATAATTTCTGTTTAAAATTGTATTTTAATTCTTTTTTTTAAACATAAATGTAATAAATAAATATATTTTTATATATTATATCAAATACATTGTTAATAGTTTATAAAAAATAATGTATAATTAAATTACTTATTTATTAATTAGTGAATAGGATATAATAGTGATGAGAATGAATGCAAATGTAATGCAATTGGAAATGGAGGCAAAATACCAGTCCATGGATGTGATACCTGCGCCCAATCGCACAGTCAATGTTACACTTGTGATAAACCAACACATTTCAAACAAATGCGTGACTATTTATTAAATAAATGTTTAATTAGGCATATTTTTATAACTTATTTTCTAAAAGATAATTAACCAATATATTTGTCCTCAAAATGTTGGTGTTTTTAAATTTTAATTGTGTTTTTTGACTATAAAATAGCGATTAATTTATTCACTATAGTATAGCCAACGGGCCATGTATTGTATAAATTATTAATGGATGTGTGATAGTTATAATTTGTAAAATAAAAATAATTAAATATATTTTACATATGAAAACATTATAACTGGAGGGAAAACTGTATATCAAACTATCAAACGATATATTTAAAAATGCCAAAAAATAAATAAATAATATTATTTAAAAATACAGTTATTTTAAATATACATGTATATTGTTTAAAAATTATAATTGTATAAATTGTAATTATAAATTATATTATGGTAAAATTAAGATAAAACAAAGCACACAATACATACGGCCTCTGAAGGAAAGCAATAGTTTGACGACAAGTAATACTCTGTCGGCTAAACCATAGGATGACAATACATAGAGAGTGATGGCATCGGCTGTCATAATGATGGACAGTATAATCGCGTAAACAATAGTCGTATACCAAACCCAATGCACACAATGAGCGCAATTATAGTCGTGATTATACGCTAATAATAACAGTGTTATTAACCTGTGTTTCCATTCATATACACACAAACACATTATTAATACAATATTTTACTTTACTTTAATTGTTTTATGCATTTATATAATAATTATTAATATGTAAGTAGAGTATATAAAAAATTTCGTAGTTAAAAAGTTTTAGTTTATTGTAATAGTGAATAAATAATTTAAAATATTTACCATGATCCGCGAAAGTAAAACATCACCCTGATAGTTTCACGTAAACTATCCATGCTATCAATATTGATATACGATTGACTTTCAACATCATTTTTATCATTACTCTCTGTTGAAGTTGACATTTATTTTTTGGAAAACAAACCTCTAATTAAGCACAAAATTTATTAATTTTAACTGAACATTCACAAATAATGAAAATATAAATGTTTGACTTTTATTAAACTAATGCTAATATAATATGCAAAATAATATACAAGTTAATTATGCGTCCATAATGTAATAATCGCCAATTTGATCATCAACAAATATATTTGTTATGTAAGCACTGTATGGAAAATGACTGGAAGGGAAAGGGATGTGACAAGAATTTGCTTGTGATTTGCCTGTTAAGTAATATATACGTTATACGATCTACAGTATATTTAGTTGATCATGTTCATATCCTGTATTTTCTTATTGTTTTCCTCTAGTATAACCATTCAATTGTAAACAATAGTTCACTCATAACTCGTTGCATTTTGTGTCCCGTTGTGCGTATAATTATCTCATAAGATCTGTTGCCAAACAAACTCATCAATGATATAAATCTCTGAAAATAATGTATTTTTATTTATTTTTAACAACACTTATGTTTAAATGTATTGTAAAAACAATTTTGAAATGACATCCCTTTTTTGTTAATATATTTTGCGATAATTATTAGCGTTAAAACTTAGACTCTCTCTCTCTTAGTGTTGGGCCAAAAGAAATTTCTTAGAAATTTCTCGGAGAAACTTTCTAGAAATTTCTCCTGAACAAATTTCTCGAGAAATTTAATCAAAATATTGA